TGTGTATCTGCCTGAGGTGTGTGCTATACTGCTCTTTATTCCCATTTTACCTCTGCTACTGTTGCATTCTCTCTCTCTCTTTTTTTTTTTTTTTTTTTGCAGAATCAGGGATTGAACTCAGACCCTTGTTCTAATTATTTAAAAATATATGGCGTTTTTGTTGTCCTTTTTTCCCCTTAGTGATTATTACCAATCTGTCCTTTGGACTGTCATTTATATCATCTGTAGTAAGAATCATTTGGTTCAAAACTAAAAGTATGATTTATTTTAAACCCCAGGAATGTATACAAAGACTATCGCTTCCTGGAGCTGGCATGTGATTCCCAGGAGGACGTGGACAGCTGGAAAGCGTCTCTACTAAGAGCCGGAGTCTATCCTGATAAATCTTTGGTAAGTTGCATCTATCTCTTACTATATCCTATATGTTAAAGAAAATTGTTTTCTTTCAACTTAATTTACCAAACTTTTAGCTATCACTTTTATTCTTCTTATATCATTTCACGATGCTTTTTCTTTATCATGTTTCTATTTTAAAAAGTTTACCAGTAGACTTACAAAAAGCCCCACGTTGTCATAAAACAATCTATCCAATCTCAGACCAAGAAGATTTTGTTTTACTTAAAAACTACTTTTTTCTCTGTTCTTCCAAAGTTGTCATGTTAATACAAGGAGTATATCATCAATTATAATGCCAGTATTTTGTATTGTTAGAATGTATTTAGCTTTATAAAACTTTGCTTCCATTATGTATGCATTGCTCTGGCTAGTGTCATCCTGAGTGAGAAAGAACAAAAAATTGCTCTTCCCACTTATCTTTATTAATATACCTCAAGTGTCTTGGAGGCACTTCTCTCATTCATGTTAATAAACAGAACTCATCTCTGTGCTCTGCAGAAGAGGTAATATTACACAGGCTAGTCTGAGCATGTGCTTCAGGAGTCCTCCTGTTATGTGTCCATGCGCCATTAAACACACCGTGCAGATGAACAGATCTCTCTGTTCACAGCTTCCTCAACTCTTCACTGCGTAAGTTTCTCCCTAGAACTAAAGTACTAAGATTAAGTCCTGAGGACTTAGTCTCCCTTGATTCTTTTGGTGCTTAATCTGACTATAGACAGATTATGCATAAATTGAGTTCTGTCTGGGCTCAAAATAGGGATCAAGTCTTCTCAAGAAAAGAATCTGAAATATGGGCCTAATGTGGGACATTGGAAGCTTTCTGGGGATGGACTTCAGGCCTGACCACATCCCTTGGGTCACATTGAAATTTAAAGAGTTTCAGGTGCATAAAGGATTGAGGATTTCTACCAAAATATTCTCTTTGCTACTATTTTTGTTCACACACATGTGCTCACACACACCTCCTAACCCTTTTCCATCCTATATCTGTCTGGTTAGCACCCAACACAATGCACCTTCTATAATATGGCCTGTTTTCTCTCTCTCTCTCTCTCTCTCTCTCTCTCTCTCTCTCTCTCTCTCTCTCTCTAAATTGTTTTTGGTATGGAGTCTTACTATACAGCTTAGACTCATAGTGATTCTCTTGTTTTCAGCCTCCTCAGTGCTGGGATTACAGATGTGCCCCACCACACCCAGTCTCAGTGGCCCACTCAGCATGCCTGGGGGTGGGGCTGGCATAGTGTGTAGTGTCAGGGGTCGAACCCAGGTCCCTGCGCTTGCCTAAACAGGTGCTTAGTCTTTGAGCTATCTCGCCGACCAGGCCTATACTCTCTTAATGAAAGTTAAGCTATTTTCATAACTATTGTCTGTGTAGAGATTGGCATATATGTGTACCACTGTAGGGAATACATGTGATAAATCGTTTTAGGTTATAACTTTTACTTTTGTTTTCAGTTCTAGTTATTATTTTTTTTTCAGTTCTAGTTATTATTAATCTCACCCATATCCACTAGTGGATAGTATTTAATTTCACAAATATCATATATTAAAAATGCCTACATACTTAATTTTTTATTTGTTTATTCCACAAAAATCTTCTGAGAACATGCTTTTTTATCATCCTAGACACTGGTGAGAGAGGCAAAGCTAAGGTCTTTTTCCCATGGAACAGACATTGAACATGTGAATGAGTAACCCTAACTATATAGATTTGTTTGGAGTCATGATTGTTTCTAGTTTAAAAAACTAAATAAGTTTAAGGGACAGACAGTGACAGTAAGGGGCAGATGAGCTATATTTTAGGGAAGACTCCCTTCTAAGAATCAGCATTTTTTAAAAATCTTTTATTTATTCACTTGGTACAGGGTCTCACTACACAGCTAGAACTTGTAGTGATCTATCTGTCTCAGCCTCCCCAGAGCTGAGATTACAGGCGTGTGGCACCATGCCCAGTTTTAGTGGCTGGCACAGCATGTCCTGAGTTCCAGGGCCAGAGCTGGTGCAGCATGCGGCACCCAGGATCAAATTTGGGTCCGTACATTTGACAGGCAAGCACATAGGCCACTGAGCTACCTCCCCAGCCCGAAGTGTCAGCATTTGAGTAGGCATTTCTAGGAAAGTAGGAGCCAGTGGTGCAAAAGCATGGAGGGGGCGATTCTTGGCAGAGGCAGAGGAAACCCAGAGCCAAGGTCATGTGTGTCTCAGAGGAGCAACAAGAAAAATCTGTGTGTTCAGAGCATGGACAGCTGGATTTCAAGAGGGGGGTCAGGGGCCCAGTGAAGAAAATGAATAGCATTTTAGATTTTATTGTAAATGAAATGAGATGCCATTAGAGGATGTTGGGGCACTTAATGCCATGATAAGATTTACATTTTTTTTAAAGCCTGTGATGACTGGGCGTTAGGAGAAGTAGCAGAATTGGCTGTCTGCAGATTGCACATGCTCACTTACAAGCTGGGGTATCAAGCAGGTAACCTAGTTGCCCTGAACGTCAAGGTCTCCTTTCTGAAATGAGGATAACAGTTTCTTGTACTTTGGTTGCTAAGAGCCAATGACATAAATCATGGGAAGCAGTGAAGAAAGAGTGCAGGCTGAGCAAGGACTCCAGTTTCATGTGTAATAATACTACTAATAATTACTACTGGTAGTAGAAGGATCATTTACATTACAGAAAACTTTCTGTAACAGCTAGGAGAAGGTTAAAATTCTGTAGCTAGGCTGGGAATATAGCTCAGAGACAGAAGCACCTATCTGGCAAACGCAAGGTCCTGAGTTCAATCCCCAGTACAGAAAAAAATAAAAATCTGTGGCTATTGTAATACAGCCCACACAGATTATAAATACTTTATGCTATTTTCTCTTCCATATGTGCTTGGTGATGAGCATGTATGCATGTATGTGTTTATGCATGTGTCTTCCTTACATGAAACTATAGTGGTTATTCAAATGGTTTAAGTCATGATTTTGTAAATCAAAGACATTCTAATTGCACTAGACAGTTTCCTATATCAGGAATTATTTGACAGATTTTCTGTAAGTGGAAAACTATCATGGAAGAACAAAATTATTCATCCCACAATGGACTGTCTTTTAATAAACCTAGATTTTCCTATACCCATAGCCCTCCAGCAAGAAGATACCCTAAATATTATTTTCTGTTTTTTATCAAAATACTCTTTTATAAGCAAGTCTAGCTGTGCCCCACACAATCTATTTTCTTTGCACAACATTTTCATTTGTTTATAAATATGCATTTGGTACAATTGCTCAGAATATCAAGACAAAGAAGTTCTTACGGCTCACCAGAGACAAGACAGGAAATTACACTTGGCAGCGTGCCACAAGCAGCGCTTTTCTCAGTTTTCATCATAAACAGTATTCACATCTTTATGCACCACATAGTCCTACAGATCACGTTAAAGAATGGCTTGACTTTCACATGTTTAAGGAAAGCTAACTGTTGAAATCAATCAAGTAGAATGTTTATCTACAGAGTTGATTTTGTTAACACTCTTAGATTTGTGGGAAGACTCGGTTTCAGGTAGATATTCCTCACTGAGAAACATCTGACAAAATCAAATTCACCTCATAATTGACAGCTCTAAGTTTTGAGGTTTTAGGAGTATGTCATTTTGCTTCTTTATTGATAAACCATTTGGTCAAAAACAAATCTGTCAGTCATGACCCTAATAATGAAACTTTTATGTATCATGCATGGACATGAGTTTAAATTCACAAAATTCTGCTTTCTGCACTGATACTAATATTTGGACTGGAAAGAACTTTCTAGATGCATCACTTTTTTAAAAAGTGTAAGTTTGACATTAGTAAGCTAAGTATCCATTACCTGAATTTAAGTAAGTTGATGTTTGGGTCAGATTATTTTTTCTATGGTCTTATGTACACATTTTGAAAAACATCATCAATATGTTTTTATATCACCTCCACATGACAAAATATTCTTATGTCATGCACATCAAAATATTCTGGCCCACTATTTCCTTTGTCCCTCAAGTCACCTGTCTTGATGTTTTCTAAAAGATTTATTTCTCTTTCAGTAGACCCCTTTTCCTCCCTTCTTTCCTTCCCTCCAGGCATCACTATTATAGTGGACTCCAAAGATTCAAAGATGAAAAAGATACACTACCTATTTTATACAAATTTCCCAAGTGGAAAAAAGAGATGCAAGTAAATAGTTTTTAGCTCATGAAAGTGTACTTTTATATCTGTATAAATGCAACAGCCCAACTATTTTCCCTTGTGCATTTTCTGATCACTTTTTTCCCCTCATGTGCCTCTACTAATTACTTTGACCATCTCAATCTTTCTGGATTCAAAGAAAAATGCAGAATTCTTATCTGAGCGATAGAGTATGTGGTCCTAAAATAGAAGTGAGGACAGGATCACTTTCTGACCATGTGAAGGGCTTGTTCTGTGACTTACAGACAACTTCTCTAAGCCACAAACGGAGCATTCTGTCAGCTCAATGTTTGATGAGGTGTTGAACAACCTCAACATTGTAAAAATATATTTCCATCTGAATTTGGATGTAGTGCAATTTTATTTCTTTTATTACTATTCTTGTGGCTATTAAATTGAAAACATTACTAAAGAGTTTTATATTGTTAAATAAGTATGTTTCAAAGTAAAGATGTTTTATAGTTATTTCCACTGCCGAGCCTGAAATACTGTGTGTTTGTATGTGTGTGTGTGTGTGTGTGTGTGTGTGTGAGAGAGAGAGAGAGAGAGAGATCAGTACAGACTACTATGAAAGACCTCTCAACAGATTATTTTACTAATGTGTTATCTATATTTCTTCTATACATGTGATTACAAATAAATATGAACTTGGTTGAGTATCTAAAGAACATTATAAGACAAACAACTGAATATTCTGGCACAGTGTTGTTGGCTTATAATAAGACTAGTATGTAAACATTAAGGAATTCCAAGTTCAAATTCTTTGAAACATACTGTGTGTAGTGGATGCA